CTGGCCAACATGGTGAAACCCCATCTCTACCAAACACAAAAAAATTGGCCGAGTACGGTGGCTCATGCCTGTAATCCCAGAACTTTCAGAGGCCAAGGCAGGTGGATCACCTGAGGTCAGGAGTTCAAGACCAGCCTGGCCAACATGGTGAAACCATCGCTACAAAAATACAAAAATTAGCCATGCATGATGGCAGGGGCCTGTAATCCCAGCTACTCGGGAAGTTGAGGCAGGAGAATCACTTGAACCTGGGAGGCAGAGGCTAGTGAGCAGAGATCATGCCACTGCACTCCTGCCTGGGCAACAGAGCAAGACTCTGTCTCAAAACAAAAACAATAAGAAACAAAACTTGATATCCAACAGCACCACAATATATGGGTATGTGCCAAAGTAAGTGCTGTGGCCAATTTCAAAATTAACTAATTCACACAGACTCCACTCAGTATTTTTTGTGGTCAGAATTTACCCTTCAGAGATCAATATTCAATTTCTTCTCTTTCACTGTTAAAAAAAAAAAAAGCTGGCATTTAATAAAGGAAAGGTTTTGTCTTTGTGTGGAATAGTTCCCTCTCCCCACATTTCATATACCCATTCACATCAATACCACTACTATCACATCATCCCACATGCCAGAATAACTTTTGTAGAGACCAAAGTTTATATAATTTTAATGCAAAAATCTAATTAAGAGCTTAGCCCTCTTCAAACGGTAAGAAAAGCCTCCCTTCTGGAGAATCTTACTGATTATGTGTGGTTGACTGAGGATTTCAATTCTTCATTCTTCTGCAATATACTATACATCCATATATTACATTAGCCTAACATTATAGGCAAAGTGTACTTTGATACCTCTTATCTCTCTCAGCCATATGACTTAGCCAATGGGACGTTAGGAGAGCAGAGTCTGGAAATATGCTGGTAGGATTGGGCTTGGCCTCTTGTACTTCTGCCAATGCCAGGACACAAGCTTTCCCCAAATAGACGTTACCTCTCTCTCTAGCCTGGACCCCAGCAGGAGACACATGGACAGAATAAATGCCTATTGCTGCATGCCACTAAGATTTGTGGTTGCCAATAATTATGCAGCAAAATGTCACTGAATCACCATATCTAAGAAATCCAAGCCAAGCATGGTGGCTCATGCCTGTAATCCCAGCACTTCGGGAGGCCAAGGCGGGTGGATCATGAGTTCGAGACCAGCCTGGACAATATGGTGAAACCCCGTCTCTACTAAAAATACAAAAATTAGCCATGTGTGGTGCTGGGCGCCTGTAGTCCCAGCTACTCAGGAAGCTGAGGCAGGAGAATTGCTTGAACCTGGGAGGTGGAGGTTAGAGTGAAGCAAGATTGCGCCACTGCATTCCAGCCTGGGCGACAGAGTGAGACTCATATAAAAAAAAAAAAAAGAAAGCAAGAAAGAGACAGAGAGAAGAGAGAAAGAAAGGAGGGAGGAGGGAGGAAAGAGGGGGAGAGAGGGAGGGAGGAAAGGAAAGAGAGAGAGAGAAAGAAAGAAAGAAAAAGAAAGAAAGAGAGAAAGAAAAAGAAAAGAAAGAAAGAAATCCAGACTGGGCACAGTGGCTCACACCTGTAATCCCAGCACTTTGGGAGCCTGAGGCAAGTGTATCACCTGAGGTTGGGAGTTCGAGACCAGCCTGACCAACATGAAGAAACCTGCCTCTCTACTAAAAATACAAAATTAGCCAGGCATGGTGATGCAGGCCTGTGATCCCAGCTACTCAGGAGGCTGAGGCAGAAGAATCGCTTCAATCAGGGAAGCAAAGGTTGCGGTGAGCCCAGACTGTGCCATTACATTCCAGCCTGGGCAACAATAGCAAAATTCCATCTCAAAAAAAAAAAAAATCCAAACAATCAGGACTGATGTTAAGCAGTGCTTCTCAAGCACCTGCCTGAGACTTTTGGGGTTCTCCCAGAGATATCCATTCAGTACCTCTGGACTATAGGGCCAAAAATATGCATTTTTCTAAAAAACCCAGGTAATTCTGTTGCAGTACCCACACTGAGAAAAACTAAAATGAAGATTACTAAACTTTACTCAGTAATATTCACTAACTGCTCAAGAATATTAACTAGATAGATGAATTTTACTTTAGATAATCTGTGTGTTTCTCGAGATGTATGTAAAATTGAAATCTAATCAAGTGAATTATTTCAAATGTATTACAGAAGTTGATCTTTAAATAATAGCTGTTGTATCCTTTTATTAAGAATTCATTTATAAACCAAGCAGCCACATCTTATTTTTCATCATCTATTTTTGCATAGAAAATGTTCTAAGAATTAGGCCAGGTGCAGTGGCTCATTCCTGTAATACCAGAATTTTGGGAGGCTGAGATGGGTGGATCACTTGAGGTCAGGAGTTCGAGACCAGCCTAGCCAACATGGTGAAACCCCATCTCTACTAAAAGTACAAAAAAAAAATTAGCCCGGTATGGTGGTGCGTGCCTGTAATCCCAGCTACTTGGGAGGCTGAGACAGGAGAATCACTTGAGCCTGTGAGGTGAAGGTTGCTGTAAGCCGAGATCACACCACTGCACTCCAGCCTGGGCAACAGAGTGAGACCCTGCCTCCAAAAAAAAAAAAAGAAAAGAAAAAACATGTTCTAAGAATTAAGGAGTCCAAGAAGCAGGTAAGTGAAAAAGAGGGATTCAAAGAAATAATTTATCCATGACCCCAAAAAAGGATGTGCTATCAATCAGTCTTCTAGGGTTTTTTTCCCTGTTCAGCTGCACTATTTGTGCCTGTCCAGTTAACATCACTAGAGCTATGTAACCCAAATCCACACAGGCCCTCTTTAATCACTTTGCATTTAATGAAGCTGCACTAGCCACTTCAATATTAGGCAAAGTTTTACATGTTCAGAACTACGACATTTGCATAACCACTGCTGCACTAACATCTTGTAAGTGTCCCTGCTTCTCTTTAAAGGTTGATCTGGTGAAGGCATTACTCCATCTCATATACCCAATAAGAGTGAGAAGTTGTTGCTGCTACTGATGTTTTACCATTAATGTGGTATGTAAGGGCACATACTGTAATCCTGGCTCCACAATTTACCCACTGTATAGTGAGTTATTCAAATTCTCTTTACTCTCCCTCTATGGAAAAGGGGAATGACAATAACCTACGGTATAGATTGTCACGAGGATGAAATAAAAAAATATATGCAAATTATTTGACTAGCTGATGGTGCATGAAAGGCACTTAGATACTGATTATTATCATTATTGTTACAGGTCTGAAATCCAGCTTCACAAATTTTGTCATTTGGTGCTATGCAATACTAAAGAAAAAAAAAAAAAAAAAGGACTAAAACCACTTTTAAGCAGTGATTCTTTTACTCTCCCTTTTAAGACACACTATTCTAAGATGATTGTATTAACAAAAAAAATTATTTTTAAATCAATGTTTTTTCTGTTACTTTTATCAGTTCTGATCACAATATTATGAGGACTTCACCATAAATGAGAATCTATATTCTAAAAAGGTTAAGAATAACAAAGAACATTGAAAAGTGTACGTTCTGAGATTTCTGCTCAAGGAATGTTTAAGGCCTCATATTCAATATTATACAGGAACCACATGGCTTATGGCTAAAGAATTTAAATAGCTAACACAATATAAAGAAATTTAAAGAAAAATCATTCATTTTTACTTTGAAAGGAACTACAATTGTTAAAAATATTAAAATATTAGTTTTAAAGTAAATTCAAAATTCAAATTATTTTAAAAGAACTATATGGATTTATCACCAATTTAACAGACATTAATCAACAGTAGACATTTTTCAACAATATCAAAAGCATAATAGCAAACTTCAAATTTTCTTTCATCATTTTCCTAGTTCAGATTTTTAAAATGAAATAAGTAACCTTTGTATCTAACATAGCAATGAGAAATTTGTTTAATGTGAAACACACTTATCATAAGAAAAAAGTAATTGGAAAGGGTCATTGGTCCTTTATTCATTTTAAAAGCACAATTCATTTGCTCATCATAAACCAAGTGTACCAGTTGTATGTAGAATTCACTCCTGAAAATTTCTAAAAGCGAATCCCTAAAAGACCTCTAGAAAAAAAAGAGTTGCAAATAGAAGATAAGGTCTTTTTCCTAAGGTGTCTGAGAACTGAAATGAAAATATCCAAAGGAAAGGATGACTACCATTTCCCTTTAGACTTTAGAGAAGTGTCAACGGGAGTCAAATCTCCTAGAAGTCTGATGTCAGGTCAAAGTTGTCTCGACAGCAAAGCCAATAAATAGATGCCAGGTGACTAATAGTAAAGTTATCAAAATACAGCCCAACAGTACTGTAATTCTCCAAAAGCATCTAATATGTGAGTGCCCAGGTTGAAAAGATGGAGATATAATTATTAAAATACTTGGGAACAAAATAATACCACTGATAAGAATAGGAAACCATATAATAAAATGTCAAGAATCTCACAGTTCTGGCTTCCTCAACATTTTTTCTATTCATTCGGTAACATTTCTGAATAATGAAAGTAATATGGATTCCCAGCATGATCTAAATATAAAACTAAGGTTCAATGTGTTCTCTAGTTGATGTTCTTTTTACTAGAAGCCAAAACCGCTTCTTTATAATAAAAAAAAATACATATACAGGTCTGTTTCCTGAGATCTCATAACAGATACTGTTCACTGGTGATTAAAATATTATTTTTAATCCTTGCATTACCTCACAGCTAAAAATGTCAAGATACCACACCCAATATGTCTTTTTTACCCCGTGAAGGGGGGTGGGGTGGGAATATGGTAGCGGGGATAGGAAAGTACACAGGAATATTAAAGGTGATTTCCCTGGAAGTCACGGGGCAGGCGCGCAGGCACCGAGTCGCGGCTCCACTCCACCGCGATCCGGGGGACGCGTCGAGAAGGGTGAGCACAGGCCTCGGCCTCTTCGGGCTCCCTCCCTCGCCACCCGCAGGGGAAGTGGCCGGGACGCGCCGGCTGGGGCTACTCACCCGCCGCAGCGCTGACCAGCAGGATGGTCCATGGTAGCCAGGGCACCCGCCAGGGCCGCTGCAACGAGGAAGTCATCCCTGGGCCAGCCAAGAAGCAGGAGGGCAAAGAAAAGAAATGCGGGAAGTGGATACCGGCGGACAAACAGCCGGGAGGTTCGTCTCCTCTCCCGTGGACTGATCGTGCCCGTATCACAATGCAGTTTGAAAGGACAAATGGCAGATGAGAGGACCTAGCTCAGAGCTTTCATGCCGCTGCAGAAATTCCCTTCATTTCTCTCCCTCGCGGCTGGGGGGGGTTCCTTCGCCTCGGACGGGGTGCTGCAGCCATCCAAAGTGAAGGCATATCCGTGGGGAAAGCAGGGATCCAAGAAGAAATCACCCAAGTTATTTCCCTCGTAGTTTCACGATATCAAAAAAATATCCAGGTCTGGGAGAAAACATATCCAGGGTGCGGAGGACGGAGATAGATCCGGGGCCCGGGGACGAGTTCAGAACTAGTTCCCGACTGCCGGGAAGGGCGAAGCCGGGCGGGCGGCGGCGGCGGCGGCGCCCGGCGGCCCAAGTCGCATCGCCAGAGGCTCCAGGAAGGCAGGATTCCTTAAGTTTCGCTTCGGTGCTTCCCTCACTGTGATTTCGAGAACAAATCCTCTTCCTCGACTGGATCGAAAAAAGTGCCTGCCTCCATGGACAAGCTCACAGTCCCCACGCCTTTGCGGAACAATCGTGCGAGGGTCGGCGAAGCCCTGGCGAGGGCTGAAGGGAGGTGGAGCGGGGGAGGGGAGGGGTCGCGGCCCGTGCCGGAGCTCCCCGAGACGGCGAGCGGAGGGGGTGCGAGCGGTTGCCCCTTCTGGCCCTCCCGGCGGTGCTCCCTTCCCTTCCTAGGTTTTTATCCCGGCTGCCCGATCTTGCCTGAGGTAAATTCCACCAGGAAAGCCTTGTCTTCTGCAGTCAATGGCTCCTGTGAGAGAATCACAACCACCCGAGGAAGCCGCCGCCGCCGCCGCCGCCGCCTCGTTCTCCCGCAGCTCTGGGCTCCGGGCGGAGCTCGGGCGTCGCGGGCCGAGGGCGGGGGGCGGCGGGAGGGCGGAGAAAGGTAGCCGGGGAAGAGGGTGAGCAGCAAGGAAGCGAGACACCCTGCGCCCCTCCGGGAAGCACTTCCAGTGGCTCCGAGCAGACCAGACACAAAGGGGGGAGTCGCCGCAGCTGCCAGTCTGCGGCGCTCCCGGTCACCGGAGTCGCCCCGCCTCCGCCGCCGCCCCCGCCTCCTCCTCAGTCTCCAGCTCTTCCCGGCCCAGTCTGTCTCTGGCCTGTGGTGCAGCGCGGGCGGCGACGGCGGCGCTGGCGGCGCGATGAAGCCCGCACTGAGTCTGCGCGCTCACGGCCCCGCCCGGCCCCGCCCCTCGTCCGGGCTGGCTGAGGGCTCCGAGGCCCTAACTCCTCGGGCCTCTCCCCTGAATGGCCGAGGGCTGGGTGGGGCAGCGGTGGGCAGCGGTGGCCTCTCTCTCTTTCTCTCTCTCTATCTCTATCTCTTTCTCTCTCTGTGTGCCTCTCTCTCTGTCTCTCGCTCTCTCACACACACACACACACACACACACGCCTTCCAAATGTGCATGGCTTGGGATTCGCGTGTGTGTTTAAGAGAGGGTGGCCACATCTTTTTGTCCAGTGTTCGGCAGACTTCCGAGCTCCGGGAATTCTTCCGACAGAGGCGTCTTGGTCTCCCCAGGACTCTCGGAGGAAAGCCTTGAGGGACAGAACTGCCCTCTGTTGTTTCACTGGGCTGGTGCCTCCCTCTCCGCAGCCCAGAGAATCCGGATGGACCCGCCTTTCCCAGAACCGGAGACCTTGGCCTCCTCAGGCTCCCCTCTGACTCAAACAAAAGCCGGAATTGGAAAGACCACCCCTAAATTGATGTGTTTGCTGTAATCGACGTCCTGCTTGCCTCAACCGCCCATTCCCTTAGCCTTAGCTGACAGGAATATTGAATATTTGCAAGGATGCGAAGCCAGAAAACAAACAAAAAGAAGACTTAATTCTGTAAATCGTCCCGCTGCGTGCGCGAGCCTGTCGGTACAGCGCGATGCCCACCTGAGACAGGGCCTGGATTCACTAAGGCTGGGGACCCTGAGGGCTTTTTAGGGCACGTGAAAGGAAAATTGAGCTAGAATTGTGTCACGATAGAGTGGGATCATTTTGCACTCAAGGAATTGAGAAGGTCCCATTGGTACCCCAATTTCCAAGGATTTGTGTAGTGCGTTTTTTCGATCTGGTTTGTACTAGCGACCAGGATAGGGGAGGGGATTCATCCCGCCCTTATACCCCGCTGCGGGGTCAGCCGACGTGGGTGGGATTTTGCCGGCGGAGAGGGGAGAAGGTGACGTACATGGCGCCATGATCGGAAGTCTGGGTTGAATTCTTAGCTGCGAGGTGGAAAATGCGCGTAGGAGGGCGATCGGCGGTCTAGAGGGGTAAAGTCTGGCCTTCCCATCTCCCACCAGACAGTACGGTTATTCTGAAGGCTGGTTTTGCTGGTCTTTCATTGTGGCCAAGGGCACAGATACAGTCATAGATAGACTCCTTAAGTCATGTTCTGCTTGCTTCTTCAAGTCTACTTTTATCTCTTTATCTGAATTTGATGTAAATAAATCTCCACATTCCTTAAACTGGTTTCTGTTATCATACTAAACATCTTCCATAATTAGGGGTTGTAGCAATACCAGCCCCGGATTCTAAAACTCTTTTTAATTGAAATATGTTTGTACTGTTTACCCTTTAGGCAAAGAAAAGTTCTACATAGCAAAATCCCTTAAAAAAGACAAGGAGCATATGCTTTGATTCATTAGCTTTATTTATTTATGTATTACTTATTTATTATTATTATTTTTTGGCGACGGAGTCTTGCTCTGTCACCCAGGCTAGAGTGCAGTGGTGGGATCTCGGCTCACTGCAACCTCCGCCTCCCAGGTCCAAGTGATTCTCCAGCCTCAGCCTCCCGAGTAGCTGGGATCACAGGTGCCCACCACCACACCGGGCTAATTTTTGTATTTTTTTTTTTAATATAAAGATGGGGTTTCACCATGGGTCAGGCTGGTCTTGAACTCCCGACCTCAGGTGATCCGCCCACCTTGGCCTCCAAAGCGCTTGGATTACAGGCGTGAGCCACGGCGCACGGCCTAATTTTCATATTTTTAGTAGAGATGGGGTTTCACCACTTTGGCCAGGCTGGTCTCAAACTCCTGACCTCAGGTGATCCTCCCACCTTGACCTCCTAAAGTGCTGGGGTTACAGGCGTAAGCCGCTGAGCCCCGGCTGATTCATTAGCTTTATTACCATATTTTGTTTCGCCCAAAAGACCAAAATCAGAAACCAGTATTGTTTTACAATTTGTCTTTTAAGAACTGAGAGTTTCTAGCACTAAGAGAAATTGGATTTTTGTATGTTAGAGATGCAGAAAGTTCCTCAAATTGAGATCAAGTACTTCATCATTAAATTTTTATTTGCTTAAGACTTTTTCCGAGAAACATTAAGTGCCCTTTGTGGTAGTTTCCCCTTATCTACAGTTTCAGTTACCTTCGGTCGACCATGGTCTAAAAATATTAAATGGAAAGTTTCAGAAATAAACAATTCATAAGTTTTGTTTTGTTTTGGGTTTTTTTTGTTGTTGTTGTTTTATTTTGTTGTCTTTTTGAGATGGAGTTTCGCTCTTGTTGCCCAGGCTGAAGTGCAATGGCACAATATCCACTTACCGCAACATTTGCCTGCCGGACCCAAGCGACTGTCCTGCCTCAGCCTCCCAAGTAGCTAGGATTATGGGCATGCGCCACTATGCCCAGCTAATTTTGTATTTTTAGTAGAACCAGGGTTTCACCAGGTTGGTCAGGCTGGTCTCAAACTCCCGACCTCTGGTGATCCACCCACCTCGGCCTCCCAAAGTACTGGGATTACAGGTGTTAGCCACCTCACCCCTCTCAGAAGTTTTAAATTGAGTACTGTTCTAACTAGCTGTGATAAAATCTCTGCCATCCCACACTGTCCTGCTGAGATGTGAAGTATCCGTTTTTACAGTGTATCTGCTATAACCTTCTTAATGACTTAGTAGCAGTCTCATCAGATTGACTATGGCAAGATGCAGTATCCAAGTGCTTGTGTTCAACTAACCCTTATTTTCCTTAATAAAGGCCTCAAAGCACAAGAGTAGTGATGCTGGCAATTCAGGCACAGAGAAGCTGTAAAGTGCTTCCTGTAAGTTAAAACATCAGTTTTTGACTGAATAAGGAAGGAAAAAAAAATATGCTGAAGTTGCTAAGACCTCTGGTAAGAATGAATCTTTGGTGGGGCGCTGTGGCTCATGCCTGTAATCCCAGCACTTTGAGGGGCCGAGGCAGGAGGATCACTTGAGGTCAGGAGTTCAAGACCAGGCTGCCCAACATGGTAAAGCCCCATCTCTACTAAAAATACAAAAGACTAGCTAGGCATGGTGGCGCCTGCCTGTAATCCCAGCAGCTACTCTGGAGGCTGAAGCAAGAGAAACACTTGAACCCTAGAGTCGGAGGTTGCAGTGAGCCAAGATTGTGCCACTGCGCTCCAGCCTGGGTGACAGAGACTCTGGCTAAAAAATAATAATAATAATAATTCTATTAGTGAAACTGAATTGTGAAGAAGAAAAAACAAATTCATGCTAGTTTTGCTGCCACACCTCAAACTGCAAAAGTGATGGCCACAATGCATAATAAGTGCTTAGTTAAAATGGAAAAGATATTAAATTTGTGAGTGGACGACATAACAGAAATGTATTCCAGTTTACAGCAATTGAGTTAAGTACTCTCTGCAGTTTCAGGTGTCCACTAGAGGTCTTGGAACATAACCCTTGTGGATAAGGAGGAGGGAGTACTAGTGTACTGTACGATAAATTATATAGAACACAGAAAAGGTCCTAGGAAATTCACATGAAAAAATACATGCCACTGACTTGGTAGGCAGACAGCTAGATTTGTACCCTCTTTCCTTTTCTGTTCCTTCTTCTAATATCTCAGTTGTGACATGGCTGTACACTCACAGTGAGAAAGAACATCAAAGAACAGAATTAGGACTTGGCAAGAAATTTGTCCATGACAAAAGGCAGATAATGTAAGTCAAGCTCAGCTGAGAACAAAGTACTGGTGGTACAGGTAAGGTTTGGCATCTGTACTAATCAGAATGGGCTAAATTACAGTACCATCCCCCAATCTCAGCATCTTATTGCAACAAAGG